GACAGAGACCGGTACAGAAGACTACAAGCAAAGAGATTTCATCTGCAGTGGCCAAACAAAGAAATCAGACTTTTAAACAACTATCCTCCCACATTAGCCACTCATCTGACTTCAGATAAACACTGTCGGCTCCTCTGCTGTTCTGTGATGCTGGAGGAGATGACTTGGCAGTGTATGACTGTCTGCTGTGGTGGGCTGACTCGTGATCCTAAGTGTCTTTTGGGCTTTACTGGCAACATGGTGTTCCTTTGCCTATACACTGTAAAACTGGTTAAATGGCAGGTGTGGTGGTAAAAAATTCCCAATAAAAATGACAGTGTTTACAGGGATTATGGGATGCATTTGATGAGTTTGATCAAACCCATAACTTGTATCATAATATATATGCGTATGTACAAACCTAACCATGATTAAAAAGCATATATGAGATATATGCAGACTTCTGGGAACACTCTTGTACTGTTTTTCCACAAAATTAAAAGATAATTGTTTTAAATATAACTTAACCACCCTGTTCTTAGATAAACTATGGCAATTTGTACACCATACACCAATTTGTACATGGTGAATCATACAAAATCTCTTGAAAACATATGAAAGAGATTTTAAAATTCAATTACAGAATTAGTCACCAATTTGCAGAATTAGTCACCAATTTGCCAAAACGTTAAATAGTTTTGCCATGAGACTTAACAATATTTTTCCTTTCACAAATCAAAATGAAAATCACATATATTATCCCATTAAGCCTAACGTAGGCTATTTTTTTTTTTTTTTTCATTTTTAGAGTTCACTGCACCCCTGTGGAGGCACCAATCGCTTACACAAATATAGCCTAAACTTACAAAGATTTTAACTCGGTAAAATCGCTTTTACTGAGTGTCACAATACATGTGAATTTACATTACCATACACTCTTAGAAGAAAAGGTTCTATCAGCGCTACGTATTTGTAACCCCTAAAAGGTTCTAAACAGAACCCTTTTTAAGGGTTCAATAATAAGAACCCTTTAGGGTTCTTTGTTACCAGGAAAAAGGTTCTATATGGAACCTTTTGGGTTCATTCATTATCATTTGTTTTGTCTTTTCGGATTAAATATTTCATATTATTGACAAACATCAAGACCCTAAAATGTATTTATGAATGCATGTGAATGATCACAAAATTCAAGATATGGGGGTTAGAAAATATATATATATTTACAATTTTATATAGTTAATCAATATCACACGAAGAGTGCCATTTCAGTTTTTCTCCTCCAAAAATCAGCATGATTAAAATGTGATATTAAGTTACTACAACAGTTTAATAAACAATAATTTAATTACAACTACAAAATGTTATAATAGTGTAATATATGAATGAATAATAGCCTATATACCTTTGTGCCAAAAGGGTTCTTTCTTGTCATTATAGAATCTTTTAGCAGGTTCTTTGGAGTTGAGTAAAGAACCCTATGCTTCATATATAGAACCCCAATGAAAGAGTGTATTGCCTAAATATCTAGCTGTTCCCATGATGTGCATAACTATGCCAGTAAATATATTTAATGCTAGAATTTGTGCAGCAGGGAACATTCGGCAAAGGTTCCCAAGCACGAGGTGGGCTATTTTAGTTGATTTTCCCCATTAGGATTAAAAAAAAGTTAATATGAAATCAGAACTCTTATTAGTCATAAGAGAGATAGCCTTGCTATTAATGTTTTTTTCTTCTTCCTGTGTGCTGAACAGCAGAGAGAGAGAGAGAGAGAGAGAGAGAGAGAGAGAGAGAGAGAGAGAGAGAGAGAGAGAGAGAGAGAGAGAGAGTGTGTGTGTGTGTGTGTGTGTGTGTGTGTGTGTGTGACTCGATCTCTTCCACAGACTCCAGCAGGATGAATGTCCCGGTGACGTCAGCGGAGTGTTTTGGCTGCACTAGGCGCTCCGGACACAGCGCTGCTGCTGCTGCTGCTGTAAAAATGCTGCTCTCTGTGCCGCCAAGGACAGGAATCAACCCATATAACGGCTATACCAGCAGAACCAGTAAAAAGGTAAATCCAATTCCAATGCGTTGGCGTCAGACGTTCAGGCCGGTGGAAAACGCTCATTTATGTCGCGTATCTCTCTGTTGTGTGTGAAATTGCATGAGTGTGAGCTGCAGTGTCCTTGAAAGTGGAACCGTGAAAATATTGAAGCGTATCATCGCGCGTTCGTGCCGAATAATATACCGCTGTTGAGTACGATAATAAAGTGAGGGTGTATTGAAAGCGGGCATCTTAATGTAGATTGATCTACTCTATTGGCTGGCCGAGAAGTCACAGACTGAACTTGCGGTCCGAAATGTTCACGGATAGCTACTTATTTATAGGGAGTCGGGACACGATGATTATGGATTCGTTGCAATAAATCAGTATCGGACAATTATTTGAGATTCTCGAGGAAAATGGTTTGAGGGGGGGAGAGAAAATTAGTTTAACTTAAGTTTTACGTTGAGTCATTCGCCCCCCTATAAATCCCACTACTATGACGGGAAACAGGTTTCGGATTGACTTTGCAGAGACAGAAAGTCAATGGATCCGAGTCATAAGGATGCCTTTGAATTATCGGCTATTTGTTTTCGGAGAGAGTGACAAGGTTAGAGTAAAGGGGAGTGGAAAAGCTTTTTTTTTAACATATTAATGACGCAGTTTTGTCAAAATGAACGCATGTACAACATAAGGTGGGCTAAGATGGTTATGTTGCGTGGTGCAGTGAGTTATTAGAAAAAACGAATATTATCAAAACAATTTATGACCGATATGGTAGGCCTATTTATTGTTTTTATGATTAAGTGTCCTCATATTCAGAAACGATTTTTGATAAAAAATTTATTTTAGACACAAATAATTATTCTAATCAATAAAAAACAACAACATACATTATGAATATATTATTAATAATATTTTAAATACTATTGTCTTTAAGTTTTTTTATCTAGTTTAGTAAAACACCTTTTTTGCTCATTGTTGAATGCTATACTGTACATAAAAGTAAGCTACTTTACCTTTGAACACTGTTGTTGTTTTCTGCTGAACCACAGTGATGCAATGCCATTCTGTT